TACAACAATTAATCAGTGGAACAACTTGTCTCCAGAAGTTGTGGGCTCGCCAACACTGGAAGTTTTTAAGAAGAAATTGGACAATAGTTTATCTGAAATGGTATAGGGCTTCCTGCTTAAGCAGAGGGTTGGACTAGAAGACCTCCAAGGTCCCTTCCTACTCTGTTATTCTGTATCCTAAATTGTTTGATCTGAGAAAACCTTTCACCCAAAGATGGCTAAAGTATCACATGGACTCTAATAATCTGAAGCTCTTCAGTTATAGATGATCAGGGAGAGCTGTGACTCTGTCCCTATTTATAGTAACCTAGAGGTAATAAGAACACACACTATCTCTTTCTCCTTCTCTTCTTTTCTTTTGCCAGCTCTTCTCTGATCTTGCTTCTTGCATCATACTTTCTCTAGCCCTGCTGACTGTCAGCCAGCTAGATAGCAAGCTGGATGTATGCTCCGGCCTAGCAATAGAAAGGTTCTTCTGGAATAATCTTTTGCAAGAAGAAAAATCCTTTTTAGCAGTATCTCGGGGCAGCATGACTTGGCAAAGTTAAAACCAGGAATCCTGTAATCAAGCAATAAATCCAAAAGAGACCAAGCAGGGTATGGCAAGGTGAGGAAAACACAATAGAACTGAAGGCTTCTAAGGTTGTTCTCAGTATTTTCTTCCAAAGAGTGAAGCCAATGAAGTAGCTAGCCCAGACTCCACCCAATTAAGCTGTGTTACTGCTTAGAGCAGTGGTGGTTAACCTTTTCAGCACTGTGTGCCAAAACACGCATGCATGCATTTGCGCACTTGCACTGGAAACTGGAAGAGTAGTTCCAGAGCATGCATGCATGCTGGCCACCTGGTCTTCCAGCTTCTAACATGCATGTGTGCATGAAGACCACCTGGTCTTCTGGTGTCTCTTGTACCAGCTGTTCTTCTCGTGCACATGCAAGTTAGAAACCGAAAGACCAGGTGCCCTGCTGGTTTCTAATGTGCATGAGTGCACTGGCCAGCTGGTCTTCACGTGTGCATGCATGTTAGAAACTGAAAGACCAGCTGGCCAGCACACATGTCTGTGCCAGAACCCTGAAGAGCAACAGGCCACAGCTGGTGTACCCAGAGAAATGGCTCTGTGTGCCACTTCTGGCATGCATGCCATAGGTTCACCATCATGGGCTTAAGAGTCTGTGGTTCTGCTGGCCTACTTCTTGGAAGCCTCTCTGGCCTGTGGACTCAACCCTCTGTTCTTGGATCTTTAAAACATGCCTCTGCTTGGAACTGGGTGGCTGAACCTCAGAGATTGAGAGGTTATCCGTGGATGCCAGCAGAGTCTTGAAGTTTGCTGAATCCACCTCTGCCAGAGTAGAATTACTGTATCTAACCCTGCTGGAGTCACCCCACCCCACCCCACCCCAGACCCCACACCCCACACTAGATCTATAGTCACTAGATGCCCCTAGCTCCAATCCCTCCACCCTCCAAAGAACCTTAAAGTTGTTCTTAGTTGTTCTGGTGTTATGAGTTGTATTTCCTGCCTTCAGGAGATAACAAATAATGTCAATTTGGCCATGGATGCAATGTAAAGTCATTCAACCATTTGGTCAGTGTTGCAATCAAGTGACCCTTATGGAGCCCAAAAGCAACTTTGCCTCCACTGCTTCCTCATGCAGTATTTTCTACACTGGTTGTTCAGGCTGCTTTTCAATACAACATCCCTTTCTCCAATTTTCCCTTTTGGGGGAAGGTGCTCAGATGGTCACTTTAATAAAGTGGGGGAAGTGGGTTATCTAGACCCATTTCAGTTAGGTTTCAGGCCAGGATTTAGCATGGAGATAGTCTGTGCTTGTAGATAACCTGGGGCAAGGCCATGGATCCCCAAAGCTCGTCCTCTTTGTCATAGCACCTTCTCTATGGAATAAGATTCACCCTGATATTTGTATGACTCCCATTGTGCTGGCATGCTGGAAAGCCTTAAGGACCTGACTGTTCTCCCAATAGCCAGATTTAGGGTGGTTGGGGAACAGCTGGATTATGGGTGGATATGAATGATTGCATCAACCTTCAGTTGTTTATTCTTTTATAATTATTGTATTCTTATTTTTATGCTGCTGCTTTTATTATATACTCCCTCCCAGAGTCAATTGGAACTGAACAGTGCCTAAATAGAATAAATTCTGCAATTGCGCAAAACTCCTTTTAGCTCTTTTTGAGCATATATTTAGTGAACTTCTAGAACGTGCCTGTGAATGACAGTTGTGCCAAATCAAAGCAAGTTTTGACAAACGCCTACCCCCCACCAGTCTAACCACTTGTCAATCCTTGCCTCTTCCTCTGCCCAATTCTTAGACCATGTTAAGTGACTGATGGATGATATGATGGGCTCCTCTAATTCTGAAGCTAACATTGGCAACCTAGTAGACTCTCAGCCTGTAGTTTAGGAAGCAATTGGCCATCAGCCATCTGAGTGAGTCAAACTCAACAGAAGTGGCTGCTAAATTCAAACAGCAAAAATTATACCGGCAGTAAAACAGGAGTGAACAGCAGCCATTAGCACAGCTCCTCTGATTAGGCAAAGCCTTGTCTTAGCACACTCTTAGTGTGCTTCAGATCGTTCCTTCTTGAAAACAGCTTTTCACTGTGGACTACTGTTTCTTTATTTTTGTTTTTTTCTATTCCTTCCCCTGCAAATGGATTCTTAACTTATGACCCATGGATTGGCTATTTTATCTTAGCTCTGGACTATTAGATTGAAATAAATCTCTTCTTCATGGCTGAATTTAAGCCCTAGATATGAATTACAGGCAACAGCTTCTTTCTATGCAGATGTTTATAGATAATTTACAGCTCCTCAGCTCTAATGTTATCTGCTTATTTATGGTCAAGTTAATCGACATATTGGAAACATGCTAATTGACTCCTGTTTATTTGCCACTCTACCTAGAATAGGATGGCTGGTGACATTTGCTGGAAGGGAAGAGAAGCAGCTAGGAAAATCCACTAATTTTTGTTCTTAATATGCCCAATAAAATGTAAATAAAGATCACTGTCATTTGCCAGCACCAAGCCAGAAAATATACTAGGATAGTAGTTGCCAGTGGGGGCAGCCAACTTCATGTTGATATAACTTTTTAAAACTGGGTCAAAAACTGTGCACAGCAGTTAAACTGAGTTGCAAATAAAAATCCAATATCAAGGCATTTCTCTCTTATAAGCAACAGTTAAACTAAAAAGTACCTGAAAACAAAAATATAGTGGCCCTTTTTTTGCAACTACCATACTGGGTAGTATCCCCATTCAACATGCTGTTTGGACATAATATTGGGAAACTAAATTGTGGCCCATCAACTGAGCTTTTTGGAAAAATATATTATTGAACACATATTCAGCATTCAAACTGAAGCATGACATGTTTTTCCCCCCAGAAAATAAATTTCTAAATAATGCACATGGAATATCTGCTATAGGGAGATGGGAGCTAACAGACAGTTATAATGTTCATAGCCAGAAAATTCTGAATTGATGGTAGGGACCAAATACTGAACTGAATATGAGGATAGATACAGGCAGAAGGAGGAATTTGAATAAAGACAAACAGCTGTTTCTCCCTGAAGAACTACAAAGAGGGAAATCTGCAGAAGAATATTACTGAGCTAGGAGCAGGATTCTGCCCAAGCCTGTCACCTGTTCTATTAGTAGGTAGGAATGACATGGAAACAAATATTAGAGAAGACCACAAATTTCTTGACAACAGTGATGAAAACCCTGCCATCCTCAATTCTGTTGAAGTATATGTCAAATGGAAAGCCTTCATCACGTGCAGCACACAATCATAACATATGAATAAGTTAGTAGAAGAAGCTTATTGTCATCAGCCTTCCTCATGGGGAAGTCATATTTACTTACAGTAATGGTTTCATTACGGGATCTGAGTTATCTTGTATGTGTGCTGTCAGAGTTAATAGCAGTCATTTATAATGTCTTTGGTGCCATAGGGAGAAAGAAAGGAAATGTAGATTTTCCATCTTTAAATAAATAAACACATTTTCTTTCAGCTGCTCAGAAACGATGGCACAAACAGTGGCAGCCTCAGTTTCCCAGCTCTTATTTCCTCCCACCAAAGTAAAATACCTGGTAGCCGTTTAAAACCATACTAGATGACTGATATTCATTAACCAACAAGTTCAATATATGGGAAGACAAAGTGTGATGCTGAGCCTACAATCACTCAAATTCACTACCATAGATCTAAAATGGTGCTTCAACATCTCCAAGAGCATTCGAGAAAAACAGACCAAGGCCACAGATCCAAACTTGTAGAATTAGCAGCTGCAAACTATAAAGAATGGCGTTTCTCATTTGAGGATCAGGGAGGCTTTCTTTGGTTTATGTTTAGATATAAATTTATTCATTATGCAGTTGATCAATTTCTAGTCAGGACATAATTTTCCTTTATCCCTAAATTCTTAAAAATAAATCTAATGGAATTTGCCCCAAACCATACTCACAAGTGCATCTATTGTGGGGTGTATACATTAAATGATTTTTTGAAATCCATGGACCATAATGGGTCAATAGACAAAGATAAAATCCTTTGGGGGTTTTTGAAAGGCATGGGAGAAGCTTTTCAAAAAGTTTATTGTATGTGTTTCCTGTCTCTGTTACTGATTTTCAGCAATAGTGATCAGAGGCAGTCTATAGGTCTGCAAAGCATATGTAATTGACTAGGGAATTCTGGGAGTTGAAGTCCACACATCTTAATGTTGTCAAGGTGGAGAAATACTGTTCTAGATAGTTCATCCTTGAACAAAGAACTGATAAATAATATGCCTGAAAGCTGTGAAAAATGGCTGATTCCACCAGAATGGAAATTTCAACAATGCTCTGTATCTTCAGAAACCAATACCATCTCAGAAACATATTCCACAAACAGAAATAACTGTGAAAACCTCTTAAAGGAATCCCAGGTTTGCACACTAATGAAACCCAAACAGAAAGATAAAAATAAATGTCTACTTACACATAAAGCACACTTTTCTGGTCTCCAACCTGGCCTCCATCTCCCACAGTTAGTGTATCATATCCTCTCTCCAAGTCAAATTCTTCAAAATTGAGTTTGATTACCTATCAAAGATATAAAGTATTAGGCTGGTTGATTTAATTGTTAAGGCAGAATCAGTTCATTCAACAGACACCACAAATAGACAACATTCTTTTATAGTGACAGGATTTTTAGTCCTGACTGAAAGATTCTCAGGTTCATATCTCTCCAGATCACAACAATATATCTTATGGTATGATTCAGTGCGTAAAACTGTTCTAAAATTGAACATATGAGATACTATGTAAGTGCTTAGAAAGGTCACATCAGGAACCAACTCGAGTGAACCTCCCAATATATAGATGCCATACCTGGAATCTAAATCACATTGTTTTCATGGATTTCAGTTGACTCAATATGTACAATGATTTAGAGTAAGAATGAAGAATTTCTGATCCACTAAGGTTTCCCACCAAGCCCATAGAGTGGCAACCAAAGCTTTATTCCACTAGTCCTTCATTGGAGAAACAGATTATCAACAAGAGTTTACTGAAAGATTCCAGTGTTTGAAAACTAATAAATGACGGCGATTTCAGATGAGAACAGCTTCAATTATCATTTGCTTTGTCCAGCCCATCTATTTTATAAAAAGAGAAGGTACACAGGATACAAAGCTGGAATGAAGATGCTATCATTTGCCACATGAATAAGAGTTTGATGTAACACCAATTTGATCTACAACCCATAGTTTTGATACTGCACATGGAAATAACTGAGTATAGTTCTCTTTAAATAATTTGATTGTGGTCTCCAAATTAAATAAGGATGAGATGAGATGGAAGGCTTTAGGATCGATTATATTTATTCATTCATGTTTTGATTCAGTTATTATGCTGGGACTGTAATAACTCTTTCCTATTGAAAAGCTCTAATACAAGAGCAACCTGATGCTGGTAGAAATGACATAAGCCAGGATTGGCAAGTTTTTGTTTTATTTTCAAAACTGAATTCTGCATTTCCATGAGGTTTTCTGGCTTTTTATGTTTGTCAATAAGTAGTTGAAGTTGAAATGGTGGCTAAGCAGTAGCAAGAATGGAATGCATTTTCTTGGACTTTCACCTTCCATTTCTTTCTTTTTGATACCCTCCTGTTTCTGACAGCCTTTTCTTCCTTCCACCTGTAGACTGTTGGGCAGATCACTTTTGTCAAAGTTGATCTTTTTCAGGCTGTTTCTAAAACTGGACTGTGAGTTGCATTGAATTAATTCCCAGCTACAATTTAAAATACATATTGTTCCTCTGTTTTATAGTTCATCACTCAGTCAATTGTTATGAATGTGCATGCGACTGAAACATCAAATTAACCTTGGTGTCACAGTGATGTTCTGCTTAAAGGTGCCATAAAGAAATGTTGACTTTGTTAAGAAATCAATGTGTTAACTAAACAATAGATTTCTGATTCTATCTTTATATTGAAGGAGACATTTTCTAAAGTATTGATTTAGAAACCCTGGAAGAATTCTCTTGTGGCCTGAAAGAGAAGAAGATGGTGAATGGAAATGATAAATATTCGTAGCCAATTTCATAACTGTCCTATCACAATTGAATAAGCTTGTTCTGTTGATACACTTTTAATCTGCATAGTCATGTTGAACTGTGACAGTTCTGATCTAATGTTTGAATTGGAAATTGAATAGGCAGTGGTACATTTTTTATAATTGAAAAAGGAGGGGGCTGGATGAACTTAAGCCAGCCTTAGAATTAAGTTACAAACATATACATTTCCATATTAAATTAATAGGAATGGTTAAAGATGATATTAAATAAAACCCTGCTATTTTGAATAAAAACAAATGATATTGATAAAAAAAGACAGCCAACCCCTGATCTCATTTTTTCATTGGTGTATATGAATATACATTATTGGCCTAGGAGACCAAAAAGCAGAATGTGGAAAAGCAAAATATCAGAACATAAATGAACCTTACCCTAATCCTGAATGAATTGGTTCTGACTATTTTCAGAAACTGTGATTACACAAAGGACAGAGAAACAAAAATTAAATTTAAGTGAGGGATAGAAGAAGATGGATGAATATGGATGCTTAAAACATTTGTTAAAGTAAGACAACGCTGAGGCAAAATTAAGAATTTCATCTATCATTTAGCAAACCATAGATTGAATACAGGAGATAGTTTTCCTTTTCCTATTTTACCTTTTTTTCCAGACACAGTTGATACCATCTTTATATCAAACAAAGCCAATCTAGATTTAAGCTCTAGATATTAATAAGTTACTACATTTGTCTGGTCTTCATCTTTTAGTGACTATGGTATAGGTAACAGATTTTCTGACATTTAGCAAGCAACTGTAGCTGGTATTTTCAGCACACCTATACAACACCCGATAACTACACTCCTTGTGGGTCTACTTCGTATCCAGCCTGGGCATTTGTGCCAGTAAGAATGATCAGTGATCACTATTTCATGCTGAAGCTGAAAATAAAGATATGGCCAATAGCCACATCAACATTCAACACTCAAATAAACTGATACTATGATCAATAGCTGCAATAAATGTTTGTCACATTATTTCCATTATTTGTTTCCTCCAAAAGTGTCTCTAATCTGAAGGATTCACCTTTGCCAAGTATCAACCCGGGCTAAAAATATTAAAATCCACATAATGATGAAATAATGCAATTAATACAAAGAACAAAGGGTTGTCAAGTGACATGCTTCATTAATTAAAGCACCCATTCATGTAAATTGCATTTTAACAAGTTTGACCCTAATTAAATAGCTGCTTAGATTTTAATACCACAGAACATAACAAGGTTTGGGAGTCTAAGAATTATTTATGTATTTCTCCTGCCCTCTTTCCTCCCTCCTCTGCTGTCTTCTTTGCCCCAGTTTTGTTTTTACTTTTAGTTAAAGTTTGAAAATTATTTAATGACTTTATATTACAAGAAACCTCCTGGCCAAATGGATGACGAAAGGCTTGTTTTTAAAAATCATGGATCCCTATTACACAGAAATAAGAAATTGGCCCTAAGGTTTTAAATGGAACAACTTATTAATCTGTGGCAGGCTTTTAAACATTGATTTGAATATTGTAATACTATTTTATATTTGGAAGGGGTGCAACAGCTCAGTGGTTAAAGATGCTGAGCTTGTCAACTGGAAGGCTGACAGTCTGGGTTAAAGACCCAAGCACTATGGAAACAAGGTGAGCTCCCGTTCCTCTCCTAGTTCCTGCCCACCTAGCAGTTCAAAAGCATACAAATGTGAGTAAATAAATAGGCACCACTTGGTGGGAACATAACAGTGTTCTGTGTGTATAGCCATGCTGGCCAGATGACAACAGAAAATGTCTTCAGACAATGTTGGCTCTCAGCAAAAATGGAGATTAGTACCACACTGTAGAATTGGATATGATTGGACAGAAAAACTTTTACATTTCTTATTTTATTTTTGGTGTACATTCAAGTCATTAAGTTGATTCCTGTGACTGTCTGAACAAGTCCCTGCACATTTTTTTGGCAAGATTTCAGAAGTGGTTTTCCTGCTACCTAAGGCTGAGAGATGGCAACTTGTTTTGTGCCTAAATGAGAGTATCAGTCATGGTTTCCCAATTTCCAATCTGGGGCCTTAATCAGTACACTAGACCAGCTTTCTGCATTGCAATATATAATATTATGCATTTGAATATTCATTCAGCTGATTGACTAGTTATTGACAACCGGCTTTCATTTATAGGATTGTACTTTGTAGAGATTTTTCTCCCATAGTTCTCTGAAAACTAATTACTGAATCTGGGCTGTAAAATTATGGATGACCACTAGACCACTGGCAAAATATTTCCTGTCTACTGTCATTTAGTGGTTTTCTGGATTTTTGAACTCACATCTGGAAGCTCTAAGATAGGAACTATGGGATCTACAAGTCCCACACATCTCAAGAATATCAAGTTGGAGGAAGGCTGTTTTAGAGTCTCTGAACTAGCATGTCTACCAGCATGGAATTTATGTTACATGGAATCAGATCATTGACCTATTTAATTCACTATAATAGGCTTTCACATTTGGCGTTCAACAAAGTGGTCATGAGCTTTCAGGTTGAGTGGCCACAGTCTAGTTTTCTTTTGATCTGATGATGGGTATGAGAACTTGAGAGATACGCTACAGAGAAGGTCACTCTGCTTCTGAAGATGCCAGACAAAAGATCCTGGTGAAATGTTAGAAAACTAGAATGTGGACATTCAGCCTGAAAAGGCATCATTGTTTAGTTGAGTGTTTCTTTAATACCCAGCCAGCATACTGGGAACTTAAGCCAACCCATTTTATGTTACTTGTATGGGGAGATCTTAAGTAGAAGAGGCATTGGTTAGTATCAGTTTTGGGGTGTCTTTCAATGGAAAAGTTGACATCAAGAGCCTTCTGCTTGTAATTCAAGTAAATTTAGCCACTGGTGCTTGTAAAATATGGTTTATGGCTAAGTGAGGTCTGTGAATCCAGTCCATCAGTCTGTTTAATAAACTACATTGAAGCAAACCAAGATTCAGCTAAAGGGCAAAACTAATTTTCTACTGAATTTGCAACAAGTGCATCTGTTGTGTTTGCTATATGACAATGGATATTTTTAGCCTGCTACATTTTTGTCTGGTAGAAACAGCCACCCATGGAAAAAAAAATCAGGATACTAAATTATTCTAATAGGAGCGATTTCAGCACATGATTTGCATTCTTTATTCAGCCTTGGTTTTCAGCTACACACATTTCTGCAACCCCAGCAGAATCTGGGGACACCAATAAAATGTTAAAAGGAATTGATTTGTTTTTCTCCTCCTCCCTACTTTCTCTATCTCCCCACTGCCTTGTCTGGCTGAAAGAGAAAAAAAAACCCACAAGACTTTGAGGAATATCCCAAGCCATTTAAATACTGGGAAATGCTACAGACATCAGACTTGAAACAACTCTTTGCACTAATAGCAAAAAGCAGAATGCTGCCAAAAGGGTGTTTTTGGCCTTTTAAAAAAACCTTCAAAGCAGATTTGAACCAATCATCTAATTCCCAGAAACAAGCATTAAGAAAGTGGAGGGAGTAGAAGTAGAAAACATGAAACACACCAAGAACAATTTTGCTAGGGCATCAGCTGGTGTAGTTGGATTAGCAAAGAAAGCAACTCCTATATTTGCTCCTTGCCTTCCTCTATTTTTGTGAAGGAACATTTTCCCTCTACACAACTAAGTTGTCATGTGTCAGAAATAGATAGAGGAAACATTTTATCCCTGTGGGTTGCCCAACTGCCCCTTCCAGAGGGAGAACTTCACTTTATGAGAAAGAGAAGTAGAAAAAAATCCTGTGTTTGGAGGTCAGGTAAAATGTGATGGGGACTAGTAGTCTGAGTTCCCAAGAAGGAAAGGGTGCATTCCCATGGAGTAAGAGGCACTCAGTTCATATTTTTGTGTGAGAGAAAGCGGGTGAAGACACTAATAGTTCACAGAGTATGTGGTAGACCACTACAACTGAGTATGAAAACTTGAGGATGGAGCTGAGCTATTTGGTCATGATATATGAGAATGATCACAGGGGACAGGAGGAAGAGACCCAGGCTAAGCAACCAAATAATCTCAGTCTATGGATGCAGAAGAGGCATGGGAAGTATTTGTTTGTTTGTTTGATTTGTCAGTCGCTTACAAGATAATAGGTATAAGTATAAACATGAGTAAGAATACAGAAAATAGTACAATTAAATGGGGACATTAGGACAGGGACAGGAGGCACGATGGTGCACTTATGCACGTCCCTTACATACCTCTTAGGAATGGGGTGAGGTCAACAGTGGATAGTTTGAGGTTAAAGGAGTGGGGGTTAGAGGAAGTAACAACAGAGTCAGGTAGTGCATTCCAGGCATTGACGACTTTGTTGCTGAAATCGTACTTCCTGCAATCAAGTTTGGAGTGGTTAACATTGAGTTTGTATCTGTTGTGTGATCTTGTACTATTGCGGTTGAAGCTGAAGTAGTCATTGACTGGTAGCACATTGTAGCAGATAATTTTGTGTATTACGCTTAAGTCCAACCGGAGGCGGCGTAGTTCAAGATTGTCCAAGTCCAAAATTTCAAGTCTGGTGATATAGGGTATTCTATTGTGAGCAGAGGAGTGTAGTACTCTTCTCGTGAAATACTTCTGGACTCGCTCAATTGTATTAATGTCCAATATACAGTGCGGATTCCAGACAGATGAGCTGTATTCAAGTACTGGTCTAGCAAAAGTTGTGTATGCCCTAGTTAGCAATTCAATATTTCCAGAGAAACTTTGTAAGATTAGATTTACAACGCTTAATGCCTTTTTGGCAATCCTGTTACAATGAGCTCTGGCACTTAGATCATTAGATATGAGTACTCCTAGGTCCTTGACAGAGTGAGGGTCATCAACAAAGTCATACCCGTCTAGTTTGTATTTAGTGTACTGATTTTTTTTACCAATGTGTAGGACAGAGTATTTGTTGGTCGAGATTTGGAGTTGCCAAATGTTTGACCATTCAGACACATAATCAAGGTCATTTTGAAGAACAGTAGCATTATCGGTAGTGTTGAATAGTTTTACATCATCTGCAAAGAGGACGCAGTTTCTTATAAGGTGATCGCAAAGGTCATTTATATAGACTATAAAGAGTTTGACTCCTAGAACGCTGCCTTGGGGGACACCGCTGTTAACTGTAACAGGGTTTGATATAGCACTCCTTATTTTTACTATTTGCTGTCTGTTTGACAGGAATGCAGTAATCCACTTATGAAGGGACCCAGAAATGCTGTAAGAGTTTAGTTTTAACAGAAGTTTGTCATGTACCACTGAATCAAAGGCTTTGCAGAAGTTTATGTAAATTGAGTCTGTTGCTTTACCCTGGTCGAGTAGAGTAATCCCTATGTTTTTGCAGTGTAGGAGTTGTAGGTTGCAGGACAATTTTTTCCTGAAACCAAATTGTTTTTTCGAGAGTAGGTTGTTTGACTCTAGGTGGAGGGTGATGAATTGGTTAATGATTGATTCCATGACTTTGCATGTGACACAACACAGTGAGATTGGTCTGTAGTTTTCAACCAGGCTGGGGTCACCTTTTTTGAAGATAGGGATGACCATAGCTAAGGACCATAGGTTTGGTAAGGAGCTGGTTCTGAATGATATATCATATATAATGCTTAGGGGTTCCGCTATGGCAGAGGAAAGCTTTGTTAAGAAGTATGCACATAATCCATCGGGGCCAATAGATAGGGATGGTTTTAGATTACATAGTGCCATTTCTATGCTATCTTATTTAAAGTCAATATGTAGTAGAACATTGCAGTTAGTTGTGGTACGACTAGGAAATGCGGGGCATGAGCCGTTGCTGTTTACAAAGACTGAATTGATGAATATGTTGAAGAAAGAATGTGTTGAAGAAAGAATATGTTGAAGATTTCAGAAGAAATCTTCCCTAGTTTTCTGAAGAGTAAAAAAACAAAACAGTGAGGAATACTTTTACACTTGCAAGATTAACTTTAGCTCTTCAAAGTAGCCCAGATAAGAAAGGATGGTAGTAAAGGAAAAGCAATAGGGAGGTTTATGGAAGAAGAGGACAAAGCAAGAGAACAGAAAAGCTATGGAAGTGAGAAAGTAAAAATGCCTTTATCAAGTGAACCTATTATTAATTTATTTTAAGGATTCTAGGATGTAAAAGAAACCAACCTGGCATTAGTTATAAAGAATCCCTTTGCACAAACCTGTCCCTAGGCCAGACACTCTAAAATGTGTGGGGTTTTTTTGTGCTAAATAGTTGTGAAATTGATGCAGCTGCTACTTTTAAACAGGTTGCCAGTAAACTACTTGAAATAGATGAAGAAGCCCAGTTATGAGCAGGTCTTGTCAGGCACAAGTAATGAGGCCTACATGTGTAAGGTTTAAACATATTCTGACTATTACATAGGAATCTTCCAAGACCATCAGCTTTAGCCTGCAAACAGATTGATAAGGTTCTATAGAGCATAAGGGGAATCAATTTTGGACCTCTTGTCCAAAAGGACAAGGACTCAAGGCTAACTCCACGCTTAAGGCCTCTTCCTGTCTGGCTGGGTGATTCCCAACATGTTTCCTCAACTGGGTATGATCCTGTCCTATTCCTTAAATCATGTTCTTCTTCAAATGTTTTGCTTCTGTATATTGGAAAATATACTGGAAAAAGAGATAAATTTATTCTGGAAATGAGGGTGTATGTTAAGGAGAGAAAAGCAGAAAGCAACCTGGAAAATACAGCATCTTTTTAGACTAAAGAAATAAGCAGTTGTGATGCAACTGTTGTTATCTCTCAGACGAAGTTATGTTCAGACCAATGATATCAGCAACAAAATAAATAAAATGATATAATTAATGAATGTAAAGATTTTAAGCATGAACAAGTATTACAACCATTTTATTTGTAAATTAATATTTCCGGATACCTGACAGGAAATGCAAGGGCATTTCAATTAGAAATAGCAAAATGAATTGAATCAAGAAAAGAAGAATGTTAGATTATTGCTTAAACTGCTCAAAAACTTTTTTAAAAAAATCTGAGTAAGCAGACTGCTACATATCTGTCTGCCAATAAGATGTTGCTTAAATGCTGCTAGACTGAACAGATGGTCAATAATCAAATATAGTTTGACATACAGTTACACATTACTTTCTTTGCTACAATCCCCATTCTACCTCTCAAATCCCAATTATGGATTGACTTGTTGGTCTGTATCAGTGTTTCTCAACCTTGGCAACTTTAATAACTCCTAGAATTCCCCAGGCTTAGCCCATGAATGATGTAGAACAGGGGCGTCCCTCAATTTCATTGAGGGCCGCATCAGGGTTGTGTTTAACCTCGGCATGGCCAGGGTGGGCATGGCCACCTCAACATCACTTGTGTTGGGGCACCTGCAGTGGCCAAGTGCTAAGGCAGGACTTCTTTCAGACCCTCCCTCTCTCTCATTATAATCTCCTTCCTTCCTTCCTTCCTTCCTTCCTTCCTTCCTTCCTTCCTTCCTTCCTTCCTTCCTTCCTTCCTTCCTTCCTTCCTTCCTTCCTTCCTTCCTTCCTTTTCTTCTTTTTCCTTCCCTCTTCATTCTCCTTTCTTCTTCCTTTCCCTCTTTCCTTATTTTTCCTTCCTTCCCCTCTTCCCATCTTTTTTTTCTTTTTGTCTTTCCCTTTCTCCTTTCCTGTCCTTTCTTGGATGCTCAAATGCAAAAGGGCAAAGGTTTCTCCTTTTGTTTTGTTTTGCTTTTAGATTGTTTTGCTAGCCCTCTGCCAGTGAAAATGGAGTTCAGGGGGCTGTGCGTGCTCCCCCAGGGCCCGTTTTCAGCTGTGATGGCCTCCTGCATAACCCCCGAGCTCAATTTTTGCTGACAGATGGCTGCAAGAGGCTGTCACAGCCAAAAACAGAGATTGGGGGGGTGGTCGTGTGCGGCCCTCCTGAATTCTGTTTTCGCTGGCAGAGGGTTTACGGGCCAGTCCCTTGCTGTTTCCAAGGCGGCCTTGTGGGCCAGATCTAAGCACCTGTGGGCCTTGAGTTTGACACTCTTGATGTAGATTTTAATAAAGTCAGTTCTTTATTTGCTTATGCGCAATAGACAGAATCTTGCCAGACTAAATCCTTACTACTCACACCCAACAAATATAACCTAGGTGATTCTAGCTATCTTAACTCTCTTCCACTGTGTCCTATCCTGTTCTGAACTGTGCTGCTTCTTGTCTCAGCTCCCTCCTTGGAATATGCTCCCTCCCTACAAAAAAAACCTCCTGCCCCTTCCCAATGCTTCCCTCTCCATAGCCACTATATCTCACAGGCTTGAAAATTCTGGGAATTGACATCCATACATCTTAAAATTTTCAAGCTTAAGAAACATTGGTTTACATTGTCTTGCATAACATTGAAAACCCTTCTTAACAGAATTCAGTGCAAAGGCCTATTGTTTTGGAAGATGATCCTCTGTCCCCAAGACTAATTTCCTTTTCAGACAAAAGCCAACATTTAGTTGCCCAATAATATATCCGGAAGACCTACCTTGGCTGGATTGAGTGCAGTGATCACCCACACACAATATGCATTGTTATCGTACTGGACAGGATAGTTAGGAGATGTGATAACACCACTGGGCCCTCGGAGGTATGTATCACACATTCTAGCTGTGGAATTGGGAAAAAAAGAAGAAACAGGAAATCTATTTGTGGATGAAAATTTGGTTTGCAATGTTCCTTTTCTTAAGGGCCTAGAAAATGAATCAGTGTAGAAGGAGGTATATTTTTTTGTTTTACCATTTTTATCAATAAAGTTGTAGGATAGTAGGTCTCTCTTGGTGCGCAGGAGAAAGATATTTTGCACAAAATATATGATCATGAAGCCAAATGCATCTATTAATCACATTGATGGAGCCCTCAAGGATTCTAATCTCTGTATCCTCCCCATACCACCTACTTTCTGCTCAAGATCTTGTAGTTTCTTTTTAAAACTATGAAGAGAATAGTCACAAAACTAGAGATAGTTGGGTAATGAAGCTCTGATCAATCCAAGGAGTGTCTTTAAAAATAGAAAACAAAATGGTCAAAATGAAACTTATTTAATGAAAGCAATTTTTATAAATGGGGAAAAGTAGCTTATAGAGATATGGATGCTTTTATTTTGCTTCTCTCTGGTATACTAACTCAATCCTACATCTAGGTTCCCAGGAGTAAGCCTCGCTGGACAGAAACTTGAGTAATGCATAAAGGATTACATTTTAACTGTTGGGCATTAAAAAGATTTAAAAAAAAATAGTTGAAGCTCTACAAATGTTTTACAAATTGAATCCAAAAATTAACATCATGTCTTGGGTCTGAATTGTAAGGCCATTTTTAGACAATTCTCTATGAGGTCATTGCCAGGATACATCTTAGAAAAAAAGACATTTCATCAAGTTTTTCTACTTAGGTCAGATATAAGGAACATTAACAGAATAACTCATAAGCTACTTTGGTTGCATTAGTTGCATGAATTAGAGCTCACTATTTCTTGGAAGAAGCAATGGCTCTGAGGAGGCCTGTTTACAACCTGGAGCTCCTACATGCTTCCTAAGAGAAGGCAAAAGTATCTAGGAGAGGAACATATTTCTGAAACTATTAGAGGTAAACACCATCTCCGAAGTACCCTATTTTTGCTATATCTGCATACAGATCTTCCTAATCAAAATTGTACGAATCAAAATAAGGATAGAAAGAGTTTATGTGCAGGTACACACACATGCATGGCCTCCCCCCCCTCCTGGCACACAAAAAAAGATGCACATGCAGAAATCTAATACTTTCTTCTCCTAAAATCCCATGGCTGTGCTCATCCAGGTAAGACTTAGATGCATAATGATACAAGATTAGACTTTAAAGATTTAGGATAGTGTGCAATATTAAAGATTTCTTATGGACTATGTTGTATCAATATTTTACTTTTGGGGGATTATTTTTCATCTTTTTTTTTTTTTTTTTTTGTTAAATTATTCCCCGACAAGAAAAATTCTATGCTTCTTTCGAGAGAGTTCTTTTTCCTGAACTCTTTTCCTAGGGAAAAATCCTAGGGATGCTAAATATTCCCCATACTCAAATCAGTAGTGATTCAGCTCACAAGACCTCATAATAAGCTTTTCACATTAAGTCAGTTATCCTGCTGTAAGACTAACCCACAGAATCACCTGAGCCTTAAGAAGATCCTATCAAGCAGCCGCTTGGGGTAGTATGTTGTTGATCTTTTACCCGTATACCATGGAGTAGAAATCTGACACCATTTCTTCTTGCAAAATGAAATGAAATCTGTTTAACAAGCCTTGAATGCAGAGGTTTAGGTCTAGTTGCAAAACAGGTTTAAGTGTTCCACTATCTTAGAGTACCCCCTACATTACAAAAAACGGCTGCAACTTTTTTTCTTAACATAATAAATATTTTATGAGAGGCAGATAAATTAAGCTGAGACTGTAGAGCCTTTGTCTGAGACATTTTGACTAAAACAGAGAAAATGAGATTTTTAGAAGAAAACAGGCTGAATAGGAACAGAAAACTGCTTTATATTCTGTCAGAGCAAAAGACTAGCTAGCCAGAACTGTATGGAGTAGCTTTCCTGATTAAGTGTAATGGGCTATGAGAACAACCTTTTCACAGGAGGAAGAGCCCCAGACCCGACAATGGTCAGACAAGAGACATCACCGTTCACAGAACAAATGGGCATGGGAAGCACTTCAGAAGACACTCTCCCTAGTTTTCTGAAAAGTATAAATAAAGGAGGGGAGAAATGCTTTCAGATTTGTAAGATTTGCAAAATATAAATTTTTGTAAGCTGCCCTATGAATTTAACGAATGAAATAATGTCATAATTAAAACAAACAAATGAATAAAATCTTGTTATGCAGCATTACAATAAAAGTGGTATTAGTACTCATGGTTTTGTTTTTCTGTCTGAATTATCTCAAAAGAGTGATAACAATGTTGCAAGTCTGAAAACACTTTTCCTCTCCCCTATCTTTACGTAATAACTAGCAGTCAGCACGTGTTTGTTAAAAACAGATCATGCCTAACCAATTTTATTTTATTCTTCAACAAAGTAGAAATTAGTAGACCAGCAAAATACTGTGGACATAATATATTTAGATTTCAGCAAAGCATTCGACAAAGTAGACTACAAACTACTTCTTAGTAAGCTAGAAAAAAGTGGAATAGATAGCACCACCACTAGATGGATTCGCAACTGGCTGGCAAACCGTACTCAATGAGTAGTCCTTAATGGTCTAAGTCTACATGGAGGAAAGTAAGCAGTGGGATGCCACAAGGTTCCGTCTTAGGCCCAATACTCTTCAATATCTTCATTAACGACTTAGATGAGGGAATAGAAGGGGAACTTACCAAATTTGCAGGCTCAAGATCCAGATGGATCTTGACAGACTAGAACATTGGGCCATATCTAATAAAATGAAATTCAATATAGAGAAAAGTAAAGTCCTACACTTAGGCAAGAAAAATCAAAAGTACACATATAGACTGAGTGAAACCAGGCTCAATGGCAGTAACTGTGAGAGGGATCTTGGAGTCTTAGTGGACAACCAGCTAAATATGAGCCAGCAGTGTGCAGCAGCTGCCAAAAAAGCTAATGCAATCCTAAATTGTATTAACAGAGGGATACAGTCAAGATCAAGGGAAGTACTAATACCACTCTATAAAGCCTTAGTAAGACCCCACCTAGAGCACTGCATTCAGTTTTGGTCACCACATTATAAAAGAGATGTTGAGACTCTAGAAAAAGTACAGAGAAGAGCAGCCAGGATGATTAGGGGACTGGAGGCTAAAACATACAACAAACGGTTGCAGGAACTGGGCTTGGCTAGTCTAGTAAAGAGAAGGACCAGGGGAGACATGATAGCGGTCTTCCAATATTTGAGGGGCTGCCACAGGGAGGAAGGAGTCAACCTATTTTCTACAGCTCCTGTAGGCCAGACAAGGAATAATGGATGGAAACTGAACACGGAGAGATTTAACCTGGAAACAAGGAGAAACTTTCTGACAGTGAGAACAATCAATCAATGGAACAGCTTGCCCTTGGAAGTTGTGGGAGTGCCATCAGTTGAGACTTTCAAGAAGAGATTGGACTGCCATTTGTCAGAAATGGTGTAGGGTCTCCCGCCTGGACAGGGGGTTGGACTAGATGACTTACAAGGTTCCTTCCAAGTCTGATTATCTGTATTATCTCTGATTATCTGTATTATCTGTTCTAGAACAGGGGTGTCAAACTCAAGACTCTCGGGCTGGATTCAGCCCAAGGGGTACTTAAATCTGGCCCATGGGGCCACCCTGGAAACAGCAAAGGACCGGCCTGTGGTGCCTCTGCCCCCAACATTTCCGCACCCACCCAGCCCCCAAGATTAAACACAACCCTGATTCAGCCCTCAATGAAATCAAGTTTGTCGCCCCTGTTTTAGAGGATTAGGGAAGGTCCCTTCTTCTATGATGGAATGCAGCAAGGAGTGGATAGCTAGGAGAGACCTGGTGATTCCAGAGGAGTAAGAGATAATGTAGCCCAGATATTTTTGAGAGAAAGAGAGTGAAGACAGCCCTTCCTTAATAATTCACAGGGTAGATGATGGGTAAGCATAGCAGAATCCTCAGTCTGCCAAGATTTTGCCTTTACATGGTAAAAAACAAAGAACTTAGCTTGGAAAATTCACCACATGTCTTTCTTGGTTTTGGCCTGGACAGAAGATATAACACACTACAATCCCATCATCTCTTAAATGACTATGATTGTACTTCTTGAGGAATGATAAGTTTTATATAGGCTACCAATTCTCACAGTTCCTTAATTTGGCTTTCTGCACTGAGCAGAGAGAGCTGCATTCAACAGCCTAAATGTCCCTTCCAATTGTATGATTCTCTCTGTGGAGAACCTTCAATTGGAGAAGACTGACAAAAAGCAAGGACTGAATATGTGGAAATAGAATCCAAGAAATATACGTTATAAAACATCAAAAATCAAAGCCATGTTGGGTATACCCGTATTCATTGTTATTCCAAGACAATAGCTGTGGAGATTAAGAGTTGTCAGATTCTTCTCCTGCCGGTAAAAGGATCACATAATATTTGCTGAAAAACTTAAATATGGGTTTAAGGACTGCATAAGGCAGAATCAAGAGCACACTTATCGGGTACTCCCTAAATAACAGTGCGTTTACTTCCAGTGACCGATGGTGACTGAGTCTGACTTTTTCATATATAAATGTCCAAGTGAGATCCTTATAAACTCAGAATTTGTCCTGCCATGCAGAAACATCATAGACCACAGCAAGCAACTCTCTCCAATGTTTAATTAGTAGCATAAAAATGCATTTCTGCATTGCAGACCCAGAAGGTAAATTCTTTTATTTTCATGCAAGTGCATATGAATGCATTAGAGTTTATGGATTGAAGTCCATTTGTACATTCTCAGTGGACAGCTCTCTGACATGTTTAGTTGCCAGTATTGAAAAAGATTTAATCTATTATTTGAACACGCTATGGAAGTAGAAGACATGCAAACAAAGAACAAATGTGCTAACGAATTTCATCTTAAACTCTTAAAACTCATATTTCTTTTCTTTTTAAATAAATTTTATTGTACACAATTGTACACATAAAAACATTGAACGTGGTGGTCTTCTTTGACATACATTTTTGTCAGTGCATATTACATTCAGAAAGAAATTATGTCCATTTATATGTATGTATATACATATATACATTTATACTTTTTAATTCTTTCTCATTACTCCTCAAATAAGTGATCCCTCACATCCTCCCTATTTCATCTTTAGTGCTTATACCAATTTTATGAACTCCCTTTCATATCCCTCCAATAATAAAATTTATTTTATGGTATTCTGAGTCGTCTTTATCCTTCAGTTCTAATGTCAACCTATCCATTTCAGTGCATTGTAGTATCTTATCAATCATATAATCCTCCCTAAGAATTTCTCTTGCCTTCCAATTCTTGCTGCCATGATTACATGTATTATTAGATAAGTATCAGCTTTGTTAAACTTCTCTTGCATTATTCCCATTAAGAACATCTCAGGTTTATAACAAATTTTTAACCCCATCATTTCCTCTAGCCCTAACCAAATTCTGTACCAGAACTCCTGAGCCTTTTTACAGGACCACCATAAGTGGTATTATGTGCCCCGTTCTTTCAGACATTTCCAACAGTTGGGTGATTGGTTAAAACTCATATTTCCATGTGCTACTGAAGACAACATTCTACTCCAACAACCAACTTCTCAACTTTCCAACTGTGTGGCTCATTGAGCAACATTCATGCCAGAAGCCTTTCATTGGTTACTTGGAATTCAAATTATGGTCTAATCTTTAAGAGAAATCTTCCTTGGGCAAGCTGCTCTTGAAGAAAAAATGCTTGATCTCTCAGTGGTACAACAAGGTACAACCAAAAATGACATCCAGCATGATCAAGAACCTTCAGACCACAGAGGAATGGCATTGTAAGGATAGTCATTCCTACATATACAGTGCCCATATTTGTGAGATCATAAACTTTCTCTTTGACTTGCTGCTTTTTTTAAAACTGGAGGACCTTCTTTTATATAAAGGAAAATTCTGCCAACAGAACCCCTACCTAGCCATAGTCTGTTTAAGTCCAATATTGTTGATCATAGTCTTATAAGAATGTATGTAAAAGCTCACTGAAATTTCCGGATCATGTACTTGATAATGGAATTTAGAAAAATAGGTTGAGGATCACATATATTACATATATATGCAGACCATACAATAATCTAGAGAAAGTTTTGGAGAACTGGGGAATGCAGACTTGCATCCAGCTCTGCTTCCTTGACAGCTACACAATAAGGTCTCAGAGTTGCATGGACACCACATAGATTTAAGAGGAGAAATTTAGATGTAAATTTAAATTTACATGCCTTTAGAAGAATAAACAGGGTTATATTATTAGAACCAACTTATAACAAGCCTGTTGTAAGTATCCTAGTTTATGACTCACCAAGCTACTAAATAATGGATGATCTCCAGATAAAAGAATCACTATGAGATAAGTTTTATTTATCTTACCTCGACACACTGGTCTCTGGTCACTCCAGGCAGCTATCATACCACTCAGCTTCTTACAGGTGATGCTTTTGGAGCCTTGCAAGTCATAACCTTCACTGCAGGTGAATTGGACACTGGATCCTAACCTGGAACACAGGAAGCCAGTTACTGACCTGCATTCTAGTTTCAGGCAAATATTTTGGATGCTCTGTTTTGTTTCTAATTTGTTTTTTCTTTCATTGGGAATTCCTGAATTATAACAATGAAAATAAATGTTGGATTTCCAAATGCAAATTGATAAAGTCTTGGCCCATAACACACCAGATTTAACTATAGCTGAAAAGAAGGAAATGCAAGTCACTAATGTAGCAATATCAGAGGATACTAGAATAGAAGAAATGGAGAAAATCATAAAGTATTTAAGATCTGAAAACCAAAGTTGAAAGACTATGACATAAACCAGGCTTGGTGTCCAAGTGGTTATCAACACATAGGATACCATACTGGAAAAAATCTTGGATGGCCCTTGGTAAATTCTGTGCATTAACAAAATTTCCATCTGTTAATTACAAAAGGCCACATTGCTTGGATCTGCACATATACTATGCTGATATACTGTGACAAATCATACTTGGGAAGAACTCAATGCAACAAAAGGTGAACATCAGATGAAGAACTGGTAGGTAATAATAATTTATTAAGCTTGTATACTGTCTGAATGTCAGACTTTGGGTGGAGTTTATATTGATTCCCTTCTGCTGGTGGGAAGAATAATTTTATAAGCAATAAGAAAATTGGTTGCTAGATCAGGTTTAAAATAGTTCAATGTGAATTATTTTGCTGATGGTGTTTTTAAAATTACATTACTTTTTTAGTTATTTTAGGTACTATTGACAACTGGAACAAAAATGCAGTACATATATGTGGACATGCATATATATTGTACATACATTCAATCACTATGGTAGATATCTAGACATTTTAGCATCTTACATCTTCATGGCATTACAGTGTTCAAGGTGTGTAACAACAGATATTTGATCAACAATGTAGAATATTCCACAGATCAGTTACATTTTTTCCAACCTGTTTCCTAACTGAATCCTGAATTTCAAAATGTACCAAATGAGTTGATCTTATAAGACTTCTAGAATAGGTAGAGGATGGAAGAGGCTTGGAAACACTGCTATTTAAACTAATAAAACATTTATGACTTAAGAAATCCACATGGAGTTTACATACCATTGCTGATGTTAAAGTGATGCTCTAGAGCTGTGTATCTCAAACTTGGCAACTTTAAGATGTGTAGATTTAGCCCCTAGAATTCCTTAGTCAGCATATTCACCCATCTTAAAATCGCCATGTTTGAAAAATACTGTTCTAGACAATGCATACACTGAGATCAATTTCCTTACAAAACATGCAGTTTAGACTCCAGTTGTAAAATTTAGAGTGCAGGGACTATGAAGAAACAAGTAACTTATCCTATATTGACAAATTGCATTTTTCTGGATATTCAGACTTCATCCAATTATGTGAATAATGATCCATTTAAGCATCTTCTATGATTAATCATATTCACAGATACATTCACTGTTGTCCCATAATGTTTTAGAATATACTGGAAATGTCACTGCAATATTTATTAGGTTCATAAAGATATATTTTTGAGGTTTCAAAAACTCATTTTTTTAACTGAACTCACATATTGGCATTACTAAATATGAAAGAAACATTAGTTTAATATCTGTGGACATGATGGCTTGGTGGTTCAGCTCACTAAATCCCCCTTTTTTTGGGGCGGGGGGCACTTTTCTTCAAATTATTCTAGGGACTATTTTATCTTTCTTGTCCCATTCCATCTCACGCTGGGCAAGAATATTCCTTTAGTTCCAGCCCTTGTTTCATGGAGAGTGGGAAAGACGTGACTATCTGCTTCTGGCAAAAAAAAAAAAAAAAAAAAGTCATCTATAGCGATATAAAATTAAATATTGATCTGCACACTGACTCACACACCCCCATCCCTGCTTGCTGACATGCATAACATGAAGAGACTGATCTGCTTCTTATGCACAAAAGCAAGAGGTGACAAAGTGATGGTGAAGGCAGCTGGCATGGCTGAAGGGAAACACATCCAGGACTGGTTCACACATACAGAATGGTTATGATTTCTCAGCAGTAATGTGTGACCTTATTCCACCAAAGGCACTACATTAGAAGTGATACATATGCTCTGACTGGATGAGCAGTTGTTCAGTTCCCAGAAACAAAGTAGACATGTTACAAAGCTGTCATCAACTGATAAACCTGAATATGTCAGCCATCCAACCTAAAATGCTTTCCCCACAAGAGTGGCGAATAAAGCTTTAATCACAAAAGCTTGTGACACCCTAAAGACTAACGGATTTATCAACACATAAGCATTTGGGGACCTCGGTTCACTTCATCAAATCCAAAACATGGGTTTTGTGTAATTTTTGTAGTAATAAATCGACTAGTGTTCAGGGGCAATATCACAGCTACAAACCTTAAAAATAATGTACGGGGTTATCGATTATGTGAGATATGTGGATTCAAATCCACTTTCAGTCACTGAATGATCAACAAGACAAAGAAGTTCCTCAAAAGGTCCATGTGATATGTAAAATCTTTGTGCAAATAACACATTTGCTAGCGACCTCCATTCAATAGAGTGTCTTAGCCCCCAGTTGGTCCCCCTTTTTTTTCCTTAAAAAACATCCTAATTATTTTTGAAAGAGCAGATTGTTTTTGTTTTTCTGCTGGCCAGAGACCATGCACCTTTGCCCAGTACTGAAAGAATTACTGGATATGTAGGGCTATCCCACATGCATAGGAGGCATCAGCCAAATAAGCAAATGTGTGCTAAATCTAAGTAGGGTACACATTACAATTTTCATATATCTTGCATCCTAAATTGTTGAGAGGCTGTGCCACAGATTTTTGGCAATCCTTTTGATTAAATTTGTTAGCCTACTTCAGGAAGCTCCTGGGTCTGCAAAGTGGAAAAATGAGGGTTCTTACACATCTTCCCTTTTTTTTAGCACAATGGTTTAAAAATGGGGTTGTAGAAAAGCATAACAAAACAAGCACACAAATGGGGTTGTAGAAAAGCCATACACGAAGCTACAATTCTAACGATTTGGCAAGATGGGACCTTCCTTGGAAAGCACAGGTGATGCTAAGACATAACACAATGACTTTCCTGGCTGGGCTGTTTTGTGAGAGCCTGTGGGAATATCTATCTATCTATCTATCTATCTATCTATCTATCTATCTATCTATCTATCTATCTATCTATCTATCTATCTAAGTTTGTGTATATAGCTGTGTGTGTGTATATATATATCAGGGATGAAATTCAACCACCTTGGCCCAGCTCAGGAGAGGTGGTAGGAACAATTTGAATCAGTAAAAATTGCCCCTGGTTGCTATTACTATTATACCAAGCCATGCCCACAGCCACACCCACAATGTGGCCCACAGTCACACCCAATTTTCCCGGTAAGGACATTTTTTGAATTTCAACCCTGCTGTGTATATATATTGGAGACAGGGGGCTTCATCAGTGAGAAATTCAACAAAAATAAACAATATTCCACATGGTTAACAGTTGATTAACATGCACAATGGACTTCCTTTCATAAGGAAATAAAAATCGCATTTTAGGGTGTATAGTTAATCAGAATTAGAGCACTGTACATGAAATGCAATAACAGAACATAGAAATACTGGTTATGACATGTATAAAAATCTTCTACAAATTGTAGACACATTAGGAAAACAAATCAGTGTGAAAGATTCCTCAAGAGTTGTCAGATTATTACTATAATTAAAAGAAGTGAAATAGAAATAATAACCAGTCTCCTATGACACCATTTTATAATTAAGTTAAGAGTAAGCAACTTGCTTGTGACTCCATTTCTTTCTGGCTTTCAGCAGAAGCCATGACATCAATCATCTTGTGTAGCCAATTGTTTTAAGGCCATTTTAATGCATAGAGAATTACAATAATGAAATGTATGCAAGACATAAGATATCAATTTTGCTCCCTAAACCCACCCCAATGGTGAAGTGCTGGAATTTTTTTAAAAAGGGATGAAATTGGTATTTTATGACTCCACAAGTCTTGAGGCAATTATTTTGTCCCTTAATCTTCTCAATATAATAAATAATAAATATTTTGACTCCCAACAATCCAGAGCACTCCAAAAAAAATCACAAATAATTCAGCCCAGAATCACATGTAAATTAGCAGTAGATGGGACATGCCACAGAGCTGATGGAAGGCCAACACTCCTTTAACAAATCCCTGTTCTCATCTTCTGATGTTCTTGCAAGATTAATGGACTCCAGTAGCTCACTGATCATATCATACCAAAGCTGATATAGACCTAATGATGTTACACCAGAAAACGTTCATATTGATACAGCAAGTGATGAATGTTAGAGTCATACTTTAGTTGGACTCCTGCCAATGTGAACCCAGGTTTAAGCTGTTATCTTAAACATGCTACCTTGGAAGTTAAATGCAGCTGAGATCAACCAATTTTTCTTTCCAATAAATAGAACTGAAATGGCATGGGTAAAATGGATTAAGATCCATCTATTTTAATTGTCATGAAATATGTGCCAAATAAAAAAGAATCCTGCTTGAAAATACTAAGAAGTAATTTGGAAAAGCATTTTCAAACCATTGTCCCTTTCCTTTTCTCCTCTTTCTTCTTCTCTTTCCTTAACAGATAACAGATAACAGATAATCAGAGTTGGAAGGGACCTTGTAGGTCATCTAGTCCAACCCCCCGCCCAAGCAGGAGACCCTACACCATTTCTGACAAATGGCAGTCCAATCTCTTATTGAAAGCCTCAAGTGATAAAGCTCCCACAACTTCCAAGGGCAAGCTGTTCCATTGGTTGATTGTTCTCACTGTCAGAAAGTTTCTCCTTATTTCCAGGTTAAATCTCTCCTTGTTCAGTTTCCGTCCATTATTCCTTGTCTGGCCTACAGGCACTTTAGAAAATAGCTTGACCCCTTCCTACTTTCTGTGGCAACCCCTTAAATATTGGAAGACTGCTATCATGTCCCCCTTGGTCCTTCTCTTTACTAGAACCAGCCAAGCTCAGTTCCTGTAACCTTCTTTTTTTCCCCTCCCTTTCTCTTCCCTTCACCTTCCCTTTCCTTCCCTTTCCTTTTTCATTTTTCCTTTCTCCTTCCCTTCCCTTCCCCTCCCCTTTCCTTATCTCCATGTACCAATTCACTTTTGTCCATGGGACTGCTCTTAAAAAATCACCCCAGAGAGAACAAACAGAGACATAAAAGGATATTATGACATCAGAATTGTGCATCATAGGCAGGCTGTTTGTTTCTTAAGAACATAAAAGCCTTGCTGATTAAATCAAAGCTTCAGGATGCCAGCATCCTGTTTTTGACAATGGACAGCCAGCTGCTTCTGTGAAAAAGCTTGGAACAGGGCACTGTGTCTGTAGCCTTCATTAATCATTCCCTCGTCTTCATCAATTGTTATCTGATGGAATCATCAACTGCCTATAATAATGTAGATAATAGATGGATTTGTCCAACATCCCATCCCTTCTAAAATTTACTGCCAACCTTCACACCTGTGTTGGCTGAAATGTGTGAGGGCTGTAGCTCAACATGTAAGCATGAAGCATGAAAAGAAGGAAAAAAGGATGCTTACCTGAAATCATTGCCTATTCTTTTGCCCCGATCTGGAATCCCAGGGTCCGGACACATGTTATGTCCCTGGGATGCACCAACCTGTGTTACTACAAAGCAAAAAAACAGCATATACAGAGGTAGAATAGAAGACAAAAAATGCATATCATCTCAGTGTTGGTGGTGCATATAAAATGGAAAATTTACAAGTTGGAATGCACTGAGTTAATGTTATCTGTTCCCATTTTCCCTCCCCTCAAAACATTTGCTGAAGAGTGTTCCTTAACCTGGTGCATTGCAAATGCATCAGACTGCACCTTGGGATTATGGGAATTATAGCTCATCTCAAAGGTGCAAATTGTGGAAGGCTAAGTTATAGACTATGTGAACTATCAAAGGCATACAGCTCGGAAATAGAACTATGACATCGGATGAAAACTCAAATCCCATTCACTCCCCTCCCCCCAGTTCTCCGTTGTAAGCCACTGAAGCAGACACCTCAAAATATTCTTCCATCTCCCAGGATGTTGGCCAAGCCATCTTATAAAAATAATACCCGAATGCAAAATTGTATGAAAATTCCACTTTTCACCATCTGGCTGATGATAATGAAAGGCAGTAAGTTAAATAAAAAGCAGTGGAAGATGACAATCAAGATATGTAGGGGAGGATGATAGGAGAAGAGGACAGAAGCCAGTTGGGTTCACAGTTGGTGATTTATTTTCATTGTGCAGGACCTGGAAAGGATTTGCCTTTTCCATTAGAAGAGGGAAAAGAAGCATCAGACGGTGCCAAGAGTATAGCATGCCACCCATCAAACATAAGGAATTCCAGAACTATTCTAAAATGGCGTGTACCCAATTAGGGTGAGATCAAATCTGAATAAAAATGGATTGATTTCAATGGCACATTCGGTTTTTACAATATCCGACCCCCCCACCACAAAGTTGGTAAAAGTGGGCTTTTTAAAATTTCATTCTGTTTTTCCCCTGTCCTTTGTGCCACAGCCTGCTTGAAACATACATGGCACAATTCTCTGGGTGAGCAGACTGACAAAGGGAAATGTGGAAGTGCACAGCACAGAATTGGGGGCAAGGAGAACTTACTGTAGAAAGATCAATGAACATGATTTATCATCCTCCCCACATCTGCCCGTGATTAGTCTGCATCAATATTGCATCTTTAAGACTGGAGGTGTCAACAGCAACCATCAAGTAGAGGAAAAAAAGAGACTTCTTCAGAGGACTATTCTATTGCACAGGTGACTGGGGGTGGTCTTTAAGGAAGTCATTTAAGGAAGCAGTAATATACTTGCTTATAGGTGCCCTTATGTCCAAACCAGGCAGGATCTCTTTAGAAGAGGATTCCACCACAGTCAGTCACACAACATAATAACTGAAAGGATGGAATCAGGGCCTCCATAAGAGAAAATGAGGCTGCAAAGCTTGTGAACCACTGCCTGGATTTTAACTCTAGTGGACTCTGGGATGGCTCTCTTATAGTCAGTCTTGCACAATTCTACAGATTTTAGTACTTGCTTTTTCTCCCTAGTCAAAAAGGATCAGAAACACAACCATTTGTTGCATTGTACATTGAGGGATATGTGTAATAAAATAATATGTATGCCTACGAAACAAGTGTGGAGTAAATCAAGCAACATTATAGTGTTTATCCCTGTTTTTGTGTAAAGACTTTTCCCCCACTGGACAAATTAGATGCATTGCTAATTACATGACTACAGACAAAACTATGCATATTCAAATAATAAAGAGTCATTGTAGCACAATATTGCTGCTTCATCACAATATATTTGCTCCATATCCATTCATAGCCAGTTTGGGAAACTAACCCTGTGGGTCACCCACCCACCCATCTTGTGATTTTTTTCCCTTGAAATGGAGATGGAAATTCTATTCTTTCAACATGAGTGATCACAGGTTGGTGCTCAAAACAATTGTCCACAGAATATTTCCACACTGAATTTGTCAACTACCGCAACAAATTCAACACAACTTTATGAACCACATTTATGATAAGTATAGCACCTTCTCTCTTTAAAAAAAAAACCAGAAAGATAACTAAGCCCTCTAAATATTTTCTGGAAGAGCTGCCATGCAGATACCCCACCACTTATACAGGAATGGGGTCTCCCCAAAATGAAGAGTCACCTATATTAAGGTCTGATTAACAAGGATATTCCTGCTAGTTGTTCCCATTAACTGCACATTATGAGGAATCTAAATTATGAAGCAAAAAGTACAGAACAAAACATTATTGACAAACTAAACCTGGGGACCCAGAAATGGGATACAGGAGCAAGATAAGATAGATACTGATTATTTTTCAAGCATATCTTTACATTTATTTACTCAAAAGTTAAAAATACTAGGTTACCAAATGTAATATTATTGATATTTGCTTATTATAATCATGCATAACTAGAATCTGGGAATAAAAGCATATCTAAGAATAATACATTGGTATAAGCAGTTCAGAAGTTTTAGAGAACTCCACTTCACCTTGATTATAGTCTTTTTCTCTGATCATTATGAGACATGGGCATTTAACCAACCTGGCCACTTGCAGGGCCAATTCCAAATAGTTTCCTGTCCACTTCCAGGAGCCATGGATGAATTAAATAAACAGAGCTCATTGTTATTGTAATTTTGCTATGAAGCATCTGCAAGAAAACAGCCAAGCTCAGAGAGTACCAAGGATTATTGCTGTTCTCTACCTATCAATACCTTTGTGACTCCTTCATATTCAAGTAGGCTCTATTTTTCATTCAGTAAGGATGGAGATATAACAGATATAAATAAATAACAGTCTTGGACTCCTGAGGCTCAAGATCAAGAGGCAGTATTTGAATCCTCTTTGCTAACAACTGCAAATGCAGTGTTGCTGTCACTAAAATCAACTCAAAGGAGGACAACAGATGGAAACTTAATAATTAGCAGTTAGAAGCTTGTTGGAAAGGAAAAACAAATTGATGTATCTTAACTTTTTAAATAATTCTTAAAAATGTAGACTTTAATCATTGCTAAGTTGTCAATCCCATGGGAATGGAGTTTCACCTTTTCCTCCTTTGCTGCAGAATTAAGACCCCCCCCCCATTTTCTGAAGCTAATTTATGCAGATGAAATGAAATTAATTCATGTCCCTTGAACTTCCATATTTTAGACATTTCCTCCAAATGCAAATGCTAATTTCAGAGGACAAATAGAGAATCAAAGGGATACATCTTTACTGAAACTTGTTGCTGTCATCATAGTTATCAGTCCTTCTCTAGGCTGATTTTTTGTATTTTATTTTAAAGCACGTTAAATGCAGTTGCAACAATAACAATCCACCTTCTTTGGAAAAATCTCATATTAGGAAGAAGTTCTAGAGTTTATCATTATGAAGCAAAATAATAGTAATAGTTCTCTCTAATAGCAGAGAGCAGGTACAGAATAAGAGTCACAAAACAGCTTGAATTCAGGTCCAGGTAGGTTTTAAAGGCATATTCTGTTGAAGCCCAGGTGGTGTTTGGTCTGCAAAGCTAAAACAAGCTACTACTGGTAGATAGATATCAGAATTTCTCACAACATATCAGACTATAGATTCTCACTAAGTCAAATCCTACCAAAAAAAAGTAATTTTATTATATTTGATTCCCTTCCACTCCTTCAAGGTAGATATAATTTGAAAGTTCCTGCTGGCAGCCCTCACAATGATGTAATGGTACAATGAATGACATATATAGTACAAGAAACTAGTTGACCCTCCTTACCAGTGGTGGGGATTCATATTTTTTTACTACCAGTTCTATGGGCATGGCTTGGTGGGCATGTCAGGGGAAGGAGATTGTAAAACCCCCAGTCAGAGGTGGCATTTGCCGGTTCTCCGAACTACTCAAAATTTCCGCTATCGGTTCTCCAGAACTGGTCAGAACCTGCTGAATACCAGCTCTGCTCCCTACCCCATATTCATTAAAGAGAAAGAACAGAGAAAACAGTTGCTCAATATGGCAGAGTATCAAATGAATGAAGAGGTATTAAAGAACATGTCTGTTAAGTTGGCCCTCCTGATAAAGTCATGTGGATGTCAAGGATGTCTTTAGAAACAAGAGTGCTTTTATTTAGTTATTCATTTATTTCTCTTAAAAAATAAGCAATATAAATGTGTACTTGCCTTTAAATGCAACTAATTAAGGTTTAATTGTCTGATGCAATAGTTTATTTCAGATACCATACAAATCTTTGCCAATTATCTTCCCACCATATCTACGCTTGATAAAAGAATTTTCATTGATCTGTTTTTTTACTGCAACTAGTTCAGATTTCTTTTAAAAAATCAACTGAAAGATAAATAATTTCCTTATTGTTTGGAGATGCAGCATTTTCATGTAAAAGAAAATAAACCTCATTGTAAACAGATTGCCTTTGATCCATTATTATTACCCACATTGTTACTTTTAAAAAAATGTCTGGCAAAAATACAGCAAAACACTTTGAAAAGTCAAAGGGGCAAGTTACTAACAAACAGAATATTTCTTCCCAGAAACAAGACAGTTTCTTTAATGAAGTGTAGCAAAACTTTTTATTTACCACCTTAAAAAAATGTAGGATTTACAGAATTAATCCTATCAAGACAGAATGCAGAATTAGATATTCATATAGAAACACAAATAATGCAACCAAATGAAGCAAAATCAGGCTAAATGTAGCATTATTATAATAGGCATTGTTACTTTGTCTGTGAAACATGTAGGAGAATATAGAAAATATGGAAACATTCCAAAGTATTTTACTTTCTAAAGGAAAAGTTTCTTTTGTTTAAAAAAACCCAAAGCAAAACAAAAATCAACATAGAGTCCTGCCCTTTCCTATATTTCAAGATGCCCCTTTCTGAAAGAACTTGAAAATTATTCATAGCACTCTAAATAAATTCATGCATGCATCCATAGGATAAAAAATCCCACCAAATTACTTTGACATTATCTGCCCAGAATGTATGAGATTCTATGGAATTGTTTTTTCTAAGAAAAAAAAAAAAAATGAAAAAGGGGAGGAAATGAAAAAAAAAAAGAACTGATTTATCCACTATCCAAGATTTGAACAAATCCTATCTAATGAAAGCAGACAGCATAACCAAGGTAATTCAATAGCTTTGAAAAAAAAATGTCATTCCTTTACAGAAAGGGGTCCCACTGAATACAGAATGGTATTAAGAAGCACTTGTCATCTTAAGAAATTCTTCCAGTTACCACAACAGGCTAATCAGTCACATCCTACCTTAAAAAGTTGCTTCCGGTAGACATTTGCAAACTTTATGCTAATGCTCAGGTAGCTTTATTACAACTCAGAGTCAATTTCAGACAACCACTGTTGGAAGAACTGTAATATATTAACCTGCATGAATATTGAGTTCCCAGGATCATATTAGAGTGATTCTTAGAGGTAGTGCTTGACTTATAACCAATAGTTTAGTGACCATTTGAAGTTACAGCAGCACTGACAGAAGTGACTTATGACTGGTCCTCGCTTTTATAACCACTGCAATATCCCCAGAGTCACATGATCAAAATTTGGGTATTTGGCAACTGGCACAGATTAATGACGGTTGCAGTGTCCCCATCACATGATTATCATTTGTTGGCTTTCCCAGTTGGCTTTCAACAAGAAAAGTGAAAAGGAGATGCCAAATTTGCTAAGAACTGTATGGTACACTTAACAATTGCATCAAAAAAGGATGTAAAATCAGGCATCATTTAACAACAGCCTTACTCAGTGATGGAAGTTCTGGTCTCAATTGTCATCCTAGGTCGAGGATTACCTGTATTACAAATGTGACCAAATGTTTTACATTGCCTTAATTTTCTTATAAAGGAAAAAGGAAGAGAATTATACATGAATCCAGTTCCACTTTGTTGATTGTTATCCTGAACTTTTGCTCTGAAATGAATCTTCATGCAATATCATAGGAGTGATAATATATTTAACAGGACTAATAATATGGAATTTAAAATACTTGTCTTTAGTAGCTGTCTATCCAGAATGCCATATTTCTAAGCAATTTCTGCAGTTTTAACAATGATTTGCTGTGGAAAACTGGGGATATGCCATTCTTTTCCAGTAGTGACATAGGAGGCACCTGTATAATTTTCTGGGCAAGCAAGCAACATATTTTATTTGTGATTGCTTGTGTGCATGCAAGTATATATAGAAGAACTCAGGTGATAACCTCCAGTGTTCCAGTCTGGGTCATAAGATGAGGTGGGAATTGGCTTACAATGGAGCACATCAACATTTTGAGCTGTGACACAATAAAAATATATTGGTACAATTTTTCAAAATTCCTCTGCAGACCAGGGTGGGCAGCTATGGCTCCTTTATGAGCAGTGCCTCGGGAATTCTGAGAGCTGAAATCTGCAGGTTGTAAGATCAAAGCTGCCCACCCCTGATCAAGACCATTTTGAGATTTAATATTTCATTTCAGTCTGTTCCTGATTCAGATAATTATTATGATGATGGACAGATAAATGAATGCTCAGAGTCCTTTTTCTTTTCAACAATCTGTTGGTTCGGGGGAAAAAATAACTTGCTAGGTGGCAAAAGGCAAAGTATGCCATTTTCTAAAACACAAAAAGCAAAGCCTAGTTGGTTACATATTTAGTCTTCACTTCTCAGCTTTTATTAATCTAGTTTTTCAACTACTATGAAAACAGCAATAAGCTTGCTAAGCATTTGTTTTGTTTTCTTCACTGTCATAAGCCAGTATGCAAGAATGCTATAACTTAAACCAATCTGTTCTAGAAACCATCCACAAGAATTCAGAAGCAAATCAAATTCAGGATATGGCTAAGATGTCATCTCAGACAAATTTATCCTAATCTAAATACGTCGGGCAAGCATTTCAACTGGTTTTAAACTATTCTCAGTCAGTAAGCACATTCTGAAACAATTGGTTAAAATTCTTCAGTCCTTGAGGTTTTTTTTCCCCAAATGATCTTTTTAAAGTTGCATTTCGAAAACAGTATCTAGGAAAACAAATCATAACTGAACATCATTTTTTTGTCCAGTTAGAAATGCATGTAAGTTTCTGTCAACCAAATATTGTATCTTTTGCTAAGCTTGTGTGATTAACTTTCAGAAATTCAATAAGAGAAACAGTCACAGCCCTTCTCTATGGATTTAATGCAAACAAAAATAGCATGATCATTACTTATCTTACTACAGGTCAAATCACAAGTATGAGGCTTCAAGACTTAATTTGCTTGTTTTATTTTCAACACCAATCTGGAAATATTGGTAGAAGTAATAACAAAATATGACCAGGAAAAAACTGCAGGTTGCCAGCTGGATCAGAGAAAACATTTCAACATTTCCTTTCTACACTAGTAATGGTGAGAATGAGGTGCCCACAATTTCTGTAGGGAGAGAAGGAATTGGTTTCAAGTCTCTAACATCCTTTATACATAATTGCTTCTCAAAGATCCTTTCTAGAAATTAGAGATTCCCACACTTCCAGTAAACATTGGTTTGTTTGCTCAGTCTACTATTGACATAATGAAACAATGATTCCTTGATTTCTTGCAAGTTCTACTCAAAGAGACTGGTGCATATTAAATATTTTTGTGTATAATTAATATTTTGTGTATAATTAAAACAAACTCCCTTTGCTGCTGCAGTTGGAAAGATGACAGTTGGAGAAGATGCTCTGCTGATTCAACATCTGGATTCAACAGTTCAGCCATACCAAGATGCGATAGAAACATGACAAGGTTGAACACAAAAGGAGCAGAGGAACATATCATTAGAGATGGAATAGAGATTTATTTGATATGAATCTGTATGCAAACTTGCTGAGGTTTTTGATGCTATGTAAGAACTAAAATGCACTTTATTTTATGAATAGTCATTTGCAAAAAGTATGCATGCTAGAAAAAGCACAGCACCCGCTCGCCTCCTCTCCATCCGAATTATAGCACAGAAATATCTACTATATTTTGTGTCAATATGTCTCCCTCTGCCCTCCCCAAACAAACTGATACAGAAATAGAGTGCAAGAAATAAATCTATTACTGGGGAAAAATAATCTGACCAAAAGAAAGATCAACAGATTCATTCATTTCCATATGTTACACATGTCAGATATTCATTGCAAAATTCAGGGCTTACATTCACTACAATATAATATATATAAATTCACTACAATAACACACAAACACACATGTTTATATATTAAACTTCTCAATCACCCATCTCCCTCAAAGAGGGACATTCAACAGAAACTATGATGGCTAAATGTGAGTAAAAATTGTCCCTCCAAATTAAAACCAGTTATGGGCCCCACAATTGGTTATAACAAATTTGTAAAAAGAAGTATCCCGGTTTGAAGACCCTTGGTCAACATTCATTGAGCTTGTTGAATGGGAGTGAGACTTCCGTCCATACTTAAAAGAGGTAACTGTTTTCTACACCTAATGAAAAAAAACACAGCAGTAGCCAATGTTTGTGAGAAATGTGCCTCCAAAAATTACTAAAGGAAATAAGTTACTTGGAGATGTGTACAGGAAACAAGTGTCTTGAAGTTCCTTTCTGTGTAAAAAATCAGTCTAAAGCATTGAAGCACTAAGAAGGAAAGTGTTAACTCTACGTAAGAACATGACCTACAGACCTTCTAGTTCCTTCCTAAATGTCTCCCATTGCCTTTACAATTTATGCAAACAGAGGCTTTCCCTTTTACTTAATGTATCCTCAAAAAGAGTACACAGTTCTGCTCAATTTCTGTACCATTGTGACTTGCCCAATTCTATGGTGCAATTCCTCCTCTTATGACTGTCCCAGTTTGAAATCTGTTATCTAAATCAAAATAGATTTCAGACACAAAACAACATACTACTACTACTACTACTACTACTACTACTACTACTACTACTACTACT